TAATTTAGAGAGAAGGACAGTGAGAATGTTATGCATATATAGACAAATAGATTGACCAGGTTACATAGCAAAGTGAGATTTGTTCAAAGCATTTTTTTTTAGAGCAAAATAAAGAGTGAGCTTGTAATCTTGTCTTAGAATTTCAAATTCACATTCAAATTCTGACAATTCACATACAAGCGAAAACCATGTAAATCTATAACTACCGGAATGTGAGCTTTTATACATTTATTTTTTGATACTCTGCTGATCGGTAACCGCCTATGATTGCAAAAGATTTATATTGAAAGAGCCTTTCATGTATGTATTCAGAAGCAGTTTGAGTAGCACAATGTATTGATCAAATGTTATTTTCTATAAAGTGAAGGCACATCATGCTGGTTATGTGCACATTGATTATTAATTTGGATTTTATCAAGTTACAATTATGCTTTTGTGTCCCCTGCTTTCCTAATTCAGAAAAGGTTTCCCTTCAGTCCCGGTTCCTGAAAGGACCCACACAGATCTCTTAGATCAATTAATTTATTTAATGTGACCGCTATGAAGTGACAGTATGAAGTGAAAACGATCAATTAAGAATTTTAAAATAAAGCAGGAATTAAAGTGGTATATTACAGTGGTATGACTTTCTGGTGTTTGTAGCAAAAGAAAAGCCCATAACAGTTCAGGATTAATTTGGTAATCTTAGTGCTTTTGCCTTCTCTAAGAGTGTCGGAAATATTCAAAGAATGAGGACAGTAACATTCTGTAAACAGTCTGAAGCATTAATTGCTGCCTAGGATCCTTAAAAAGGCTTACTCATCTGCATAGAAATAATGACTTTTTAATTAAAATGTACCTTGTATAAACTCATGTATTTTTAATAAGGATTTATTTTTTCCCAAGTGTCTTGTTTTTTTTCTTTTTTCAAAGCTGTACTGATAGCCCTGTACTTTGCTTCGTCTTTGATCTGGAAAACCATTTGGAGATGTTTAGTCTGTGGACTGCTAGCACAATTTATAGTAACATTTTCTTGATATATTCTATCTTGTGTATATGTGAAGTGATACTTGTGTGCAATGTTTATAGTAAGATCTATCTTCTAATATGGAAATTTTATTTCCCCCCCCACGTCGTCCAACCATTTTGAATATAATGATTATTTATACTGTTTGCCAATGTTAGGCATGTATTGAGCAGTTCCCTAATGAATAGGCTCTTTCCTTCGTACAATCTGATTGTAAGTGGTTCTACTAGAGGCTTTGAAGGTTTCAAACAGAGATTTCTAATATAGTGATATTACTTTATTTTGAACCATTAGCATGAAAAAGTTAACAGAATTGCCAAAATGCAACCAAAAAGATAGAAATTGCTTTACTGGTTTGAGGGAGATGCTTTTTCTTTACATGAGTGGTGTAGTCATTTCAAAATAAATGAACACAAGAATCAATGTAGGGCTAGGGTAGCTTTAGCCTTTGAATGTCTTTTGCACGAGCACTTCAAAGTGACCTTTGCTTACTAAGTTCTGCATTTGTATTTTCAACCAGCAAATCTCATGTCTCTGTAGGAGGAAAAAGGTACTGGCATTCACAGACTGGCAGGAAAATTCCATCCTCGAGGGCACGTTCTGCCCCATTGCATTCTAAAAATGCACCTTGTGTACAAAGGTTTTCATTTCAGAGTAGTCTAGGGGGAACACTTGCCCTTGTGCCGCCATTGCCAGCCCTGCTTTGATGACACAGTTTAGAAAGTTATTTGGCTGCATAATGGCATTGTGGTTGTCCTAGGTTCCTTTTTATGATGGCTGCACTACTGCTAGGAATAATTAAAAATATGGCTCATGTAAGAGTTTCCCAAGATAAAATGCGCACATTTAAAGATAGCAGAAGCAGCCTGTTTTTCACTTAAATAAGCTCCAAATGAATTGAATACATCATGTATCACAAATGTACATGCGTTAATTAATGTAAAATTTTGCGAGATCACCCCTGATCCAAAGCCGCCATTTCTTCAGTTTTGTGGGTGTTGCACGTAACATAATATGGTCAGGAAATCTATTGAAGGGAAACAGGATAATGGTGGATTCCCATTCCAGATATAATAGAAGGTTTAGAACATGTTCTGCAGATAATTTTATAATCTGCTCCAATTCCCCTGAGTGCCATTTGCAGATAGAATGTCAGTCTCCAAACCCACCCAGTTTTATACCCACAGAGTAGGATTTCATACGCCTACCAAGTTCACAAGATTTAGAATCTAATTAACACGTTGAATCCGTACATAAAATACAGAGACAATCTGCTTCAGTTTACAAAGGTATCCACAAGATGGCAATGTGAACACGTCATATTTCACAAAGACAGAACACTGTGAATGTTAAATACAGTGTTGTTTAGAGTAATTGTCCAAACCTGGTAATTGTTTTTGCTCTCCTGTGTCATGATATTTCATCGGCTTAAAGGTTTATCTTGTTTAATATAAGAGAACCACATCTTCATCTTTTTTATACACACAGAGTTTGCTGCCAAGATCACTAATCTGCAGAGTTAAATTAGTTTTATGTGCTAGATTCCTTCATAAATTTCGGGCAGGTACTGTTTTGCTATCAAGACCAATAAACCCCTACCCAGAGTATGTTCTATCGCAATTGTTCCTTCCAGGGGCATTTGCACAACAATACATGTTTAATGTGACTTTCTCATATGGGATGGTGTTTACAGTTTTCCCCTTCTTTGGAGCCCTTTCAATGTTTAATATCTGTAGGGAATAGTGTGTCTGTATCGCAAAGCATCTTTCTGTTCAGGCTGTGGTTAAAGAAATGCTTTGGAAAGCTATGTGGCGGATTCTGTCTCTGCATTTAGATAACTTGTGTATAAATCATTAGTCTTAAGTTTAGTAGTATCTAAAGCAGGGGTAGTCAACCTGGTCCATACGGTTTGGGATTTCAGGTGGGCAGGGAAGGGTTCTGTAGAAAACGCCTGTTGGGCGTCGATGGCCATGGACCAAGTCTGACAAGGGAGATACTATAATCTCCCCTGCCAACCTTGCTGTAAACCTTCTTGGGCTAGTGAGGAGATGAAAGATCTCCCTCACCAGCCCACTGGCACTTAGTTCCAGCAGAGGGAGGTTCTGTTTTCCTCCTGCGAGCAGTCCGGTCGGAGCATTGCTGCATGTTACTATGGTAACGCTCCAATACAGTGCTGTGCTCGCAGGAGGACAGGAGAGTCACGACTGGACCACCAGGGCTTGCAGCATTATGTACCCCCTCTCTGGTTAAAGGTAAGAAGGGGGGACATTACGATAGATTTTCACATCTCACCCACCTCCACACACACACACTGCACCTTCCACACATACAGCACACCCACACACTGCCCCACTGACACACTTCCCCCTCACACACATACTGTACCTCTCACAGACACACACACTACACCCTTCACACACACACACACAGTACCTCACAGACATACACACAAAAAAGGTAGAATAGAAAATAGTAAAAATAGACAAATTTAAGAACATATATATATATATATATGTATGTATGTATATAAAAAAATCATCCTTTCTAAAATAAATTACAAAAAACAAATCTCACTTGCGCTATAATATTACTTACTGTGGCACCGGTGGGCGGTAAGGAAATTTTACCATCAACAAAGATACAAAAGAGGTGGCAGGTATTAAAAGGTTGATTACCCCTGATCTAAACAATGGCTATATAGATTTGATTTATCAGTCAACACTCCATGGGCAGCAAGTGCCCCTACAACCACCATAACCTACCCCACAAGTAGTAGTAATATATAACTTTTTATTCCTAACGTAGGGACATACCAGAAAAGTTACCTAGAAAGAGGATCATACACTCAACCTCCCCCTTCCCTTTGCAAAAATAACAAAAAGTTGAGAAGCAATATTTTTGGGTGGGCTGGCAAGGAGGATTGTTATTTATATTTACTCATATTTGGCTACAAAAAAAAACCCTTTGCTTTTTCTCTTTGCAGTAATGTTGCTGAAGAGGCTTCTGTGAAAACCCACAAGCAAGTTTATTCCAGTCTTCTCCGAGCTACTGCCAGTAGGAACGCCACACTGCCTGAGAGAGTGAGCCTCTTAATACATTTACTGGACCAGCTCACAGCTAAGAACGAAACGAATGAAACTGTCATTCAGTGACGCATTATTGTTTGGGTGAGAAAGCGGATGCTGTGCCTTGTTAAACCTGGGACTGGTGGCTGCTCTGTTACACTTGCTGCACTACTTTGTCTGTGACTAATTCAATCAGTACATGCAGGGAAGGCAAGATAATCTCAGATAAACTACATACAATGCCCTTTTTTCTATTTAGAAAAAAAACTGAAATCCTCTGCTACTCTGGAATAGAGATCATACTATAAGTTAAGATTTTTATTTTTTACCTCTGCGCATTTTCCAGGTGGAATCCCAGAACCACAAAGATTTAGTGGCCGCTGGTGCGGGAATATCTGTTACAATTACACGTTAAACTTTTTTTTTTCTTCTTCTTCTTCTTTTTTTCCCCAACGATTCCTTTTCCTTTTACTGTATAGCCAGGTATACTGGGGAATACTAGGGTATCTATTCACTAAACATTGTTTTGTCAATGTTTGGGTGTACAGAATGTCCATGATTTGGGGATTCTGGCATACATTGTAGCCATATAGAACAAAAACAATCACCCTTGCACATAAAACAAGATGGTGATAAACACTTATCTTATTAGACAGTGGTTACAGCTTCCTCCAGGGATATCCTAGCAATAATCCCTCAAATATAGAATAGGTATACACAAAAATGAGGATGCAGCTGTGGATCTGCAAAAAAAATGGAACAAATAATAGCGTAACACTGTATAACAGGGTACAAATGCGCTGTATTAGATATAACTCACAGGATGGATGAATTAATAACGCCCAAGGGTGCCTCCCCTGATGTAGGTGGGGGGGGAGGGGGGGGGCGAAATCACTGCTTCTGCTCCCAGGAAAACTGAGTTGGACTCAGGATATGGAGTAAACAAATTCCTTCTTTATTTAAAAATATAAAAGATAAATATATGTACAAGCTGTTATGGTACCAGGTCCTACGCGTTTCGTCCAAATTGACTTCTTCAGGGACCTCCTGGTATTTGAGTGTGTAACGGCAGTTACAAATACAGATATACAATAAAAAGTAAAAACTGCTTACTTTTTATTGTATATCTGTATTTCTAACTGCCGTTACACACTCGAATACCAGGAGGTCCCTGAAGACGTCCATTTGGACGAAACGCGTAGGACCTGGTACCATAACAGCTTGTACATATATTTATCTTTTATATTTTTAAATAAAGAAGGAATTTGTTTACTCCATATCTTGAGTCCAACTCTGTTTTCCTGGGGGCAGAAGCAGTGATTTTGCTCCCCACCTACATCAGGGGAGGCACCCTTGGGCGTCATTAATTCATTCATCCATCCTGTGAGTTATATCTAATACAGCGCATTTGTACCGTTATACAGTGTAACGCTATTATTTGTTCCATATTTTTTTGCAGATCCACAGCTGCATCCTCATTTTTGTGTATACCTATACATTGTAGCCAGTTGGCTGTCCACATACATGGCATCTCGCAATGAAATGGTTAAATCACTCCTCTCCCGCCTCTGCTTGCTATTTGTCACATTTTCCTCCGTTGAGCTTGTATAAGAATAAAGCCTGTACCATGCTGCATTTTGCTGCAGTCTTCCTGGACAAATTTATGAAAAAATGTAATGCACATGGTGAATGGGGATTTTTATTTTTAAATGGAAGTCATTGCTGGTAACAAGGAGTGTGCAAGCTCTCAGTGCTGTTAGGTAATGCCCAATTCCACAGCTTACCTTTAGGGGGAGGGCTTGGGTCCCTGGTGCTAGTTTGGGGAGATGATATAACTGTGCTGTAATGCAGCTCAGCTCTCTTTCCCACATCTTCAAGGCCTTTTCTGCTGGGCAAGACTGCTTGTTTCATAAAATAGCCATTCTGTCAAAGCACCAGACACAATAAAATGACCAACACAGAGCACCCAAATGAGTCTCCTCTGCCACCTAACAAATGTAGCACCCATTTACCCGTAATTAGAAAAACCTCTTGCTCTCCAACAATGCTGGACTAAACAAAGAGCATCATGGGGGGATCTTCCATTGAACCCGGAACCCTGAAGTTGCTTGTCACATGGTGTTCAGATTTAGTACAGACCAGGCACAACACAGAGTCCTTGCCACTGCAATTCTGATAAATGGGTTCACCTGCAGCTTTGTAACACACTTTGTTAATATGGTATTACACTTCTTCCCTTCTATTTGATAATGTGAATAACTTGTGAAAAGAGCTTTTTAAATATTTTTATTTATTAAGAATAAACAGTTGTTTGTGAATATCAATGTTTCTTCAATACATGCTTTTCCTAAACCATCTGTTAAAGACACTACTAGCTTAAAATGAGTGAATCATTGACAGGCACCCTGAGTCAAATTGTCCACAGAAATGGTGATGATACAGATATACTTTAGATGGTAGTAACTCATGTCATGGATGATGGGTATGAGGATATCCCACGCCTGGAAAAAACAAGCTAGTATTTTTTTGGCTGTCTTGAAAAGTAATATTTTTTTTTATTATTCTTCCAAAGGTTAGTCTAAATGCAATTTTTTAAATGTTTTATTATTTTATTTTTTTTTTACTAGGAATTATCAGAAAGAAAAAAGGTACAGTTAATATGAATGTTTTAAATTTTATAAAAAAACAACTTTGAAACTTTTTCTTATACACTATAGGGGTTTATTCATAAATTGTAGCAAATTAAAATCTGAACTACAATATTAAATGAATGCTATAGTGTTAGAAATAGGAACAAATTTGTTGATCTCAGCCAATCCAATGCTTTACCATAGTATAGACCAATCAGCATCTCCTCTTAAAGATGCTTAGAATCAATGCATCTCTATGAGGAGCGTTCAGCATCTCCATGCACCTGAATTTAGGTCCTGCATATATTGCAGGAGCCAACCAGGATGTCCTTCAAGTAGCTGTCACTATGACTGCCAATAGAGGTGTTACTAACCAGCAATGTAAACACTGGCACTTATTCTGTGCTAAGCTTGCAGGAACAAGCTAAAGACACCAGAACCACTATACTAAGCTGTAATGGTACTGGTGGCTATACCGTCCCTTTAAGGTTAAATATCCAAACTATCTGAGTTGGAGATTTGTCTAAATTTTGCCAATTGTGTTTTTGCTACAAGTAGATGTTTGGGGAATCCACTCATTCAGTGTAAACAAAAAAAAATGTGGGTATCAGATTTGGTTTAGAAGTCCGCTTTAGAGGCATCTAGGTACGATAACCTCTACAGCTTGGTTGCCATCCCCTGATAATCTCTCAAACCATTAACAAACTGTTTTGTGCGGTGTTGTGTGCCAGTGGTTCTACATTGTTGTGAATACAGTTTAACACTGCTTTAAATTATTATGACATTATATGAACTTCCACTTGTGGACTCCCATAAACCGTTTTGACAGATTACTGGTCGATGGCACTCTGGAATGTTAAGCAACATTACCATTACCGCATATAGTAGTGGTTACAGTGTCTAGAGCAGTTTTCCCAAAATCAGTCTACAGGAACTGTCCAGGTTTTTTCAATATCTACATTGGACTAGAAAAGGGAAATACATAATTTGTGGGCTGCTGCTAGGCCATGATGACTGGTTTGGTAACCACTGCTCTAGAGTGTCCCTTTAAAGAAATCTACACAAAAATGATTGCATTTCAGACACCGTTACATGCTCAGCTGTCATAAACGAGAGACAAGTAAGAAAGTGCATTCGTTGAACTGTGATTTATGGTACAGTAAATGGCTGACAAATGTTATTAGCTATTTTAAGTAAAAACTGAGTATATAAGTGGAAGGTGGCCTTGTACCAATGGAGAAAACCAGGATAATAAAAAGTAATAAAAGTTATAAAAGCTGAATATTATATGAAAGACGAATGAAATATACATCGTCCATAATAGCTATAGTGTAGATATTCTGGGAAAAGTGCATATTAATTATAAAGCAGCTAAATGTTTTGTCTCTTTATTCATGCCTTCAGTCCCAAGCAGGGCTCTGGCTTTTTTTATGTAAAGAACTGTACTATAGTAAGCCGGCAGTCAATAACATTGTCATTTTAGAGCTAGATTGCCATTGGCAGATCTATTGTCAATTTACAGAACACCATTCTTTGCTCAAGGCAGACACAATGAAAGATTAGCAGTAATTGATAGTTAATTTTTATTTTCTTCTAACAAGACCCATATTGTATTATTGAAAACCTACCACTTTATCTCTAATGTAGGATTGTTTCTGGTTCGGTAGGTTATTAAACGATATAGTGGTGCAATTTTAAAGTTAACATTTTTCAATGCAAAAAGTAAAAAAAAAAATCTTTCTGAAGAATGGGAAGGATTTAAATGTTAAAAAGAAAAGTAAGCCACATATAAAAAACTACTGCAGCTAGAGGGTGGTCAACCAGGTAATTGGAAATGTAACTATCTATAAAGACAGTCCCACCTGAGGGCCTGGATTCAATAATTACCTCTAACGAAGCGTCACATTTAATTAATTTTATTTTTTTTAAATGTCACGTCATCACTTAAATACTTTATTAGAGGTAATTATCGAAGCTTTGCCCAAAGGTGGCTCTTTTATTTATAGGTAGCTAGTTCAATGTTAAATAAATCTTCCCGGTCTCCTCCCATGTGCTTGCGAGAACAGTGTCTTGTATAACCCAGTGAGATCCTCTATTTAATCCAGTCGTGAAAGGGTTAAAATATCATCCTTAGCTGGGGGAAAAAAATTGTTATATATAGAGACCCATTTTTCCACTTAGCTCCAAAACTAAATTACAACACACATTGGTAAAACCCCGAAGGGTCAAACGACATGATATGCAATAACTTTTCAACTATACAGTTGCTAGCTATTTGACAAGTACAATGTGTAGATGAAATGTTAACATCCAAAAATATTAAAATAAGTATTTTTAAATATTTATGTTCCTTACTTGGCATATATATATATATATAAAAAAAACAAAAACCAAGGCTGGTGCTGGTATTGCAGTGCCAGGCAGTCTCCCTGCTGAGGCTGTTCCTTTCTCAAGGAGCTCATCTGTCTAGATGATCCAACGTCCAATCCAATGCTTTTCACAGAGAAGCACTAAGAACCTACTGCGCATGCGCACCAATTGCCTTGCCCAGTCAGTCAGATTTTCTTTTTATACGGAAGCATTGCAATACCGAACATGAAGACTTTCAATTGCTATGTTTTTATGAAGAAGTGCCTCTAGTTTCTGTTTCTTATTGTCTTCGTAACAAATGTAAATATTGACATTTCTTACAAAAGTTCATACTTAAATTTGACAGACTGCAGGGACGGAGTAGTGATTTTTGTGCTAAGTACCCATTTAAAGTGACGCCAAGTAATGTTCGGCATGACAAATGCATAAACACATTGAATAGATCATCCCAACATGCAGGGGAAAAAAAGACTTCGGTAACAAATAACCCACTTAAACCAGAGACATTGTTAAATAATGTACAACATACCTTTACTCTAGAGGGGAAAGATGGACTTTCTCTATAAGCTATGCTCTTTCTTCTCTGCTGTGAAACAGTTTGGATTTTGCTATACATTTCTGGCAAAATAAATAAGTTATCACTACAGAGCGTTTCACGTAGTGAACTAAACATAACTTACTGCACAGGTCAATTTCAAGCTGTCAAAAAGAATTCTGTAGAGTTTTGTCATTAGAGGTGCATTGTAAAACCCATTATGTGATCCTAACACGCTTTGTGAAATGTTTACCATCCAGTACAGACTGGGGTTTATCCACTAAACATCAAGTTCAATTGAAAAATGTAGGTTAAAGGTGTCTATATTAATCTGATTTTTTTATTTCTTCTTTTAGTTTACTACATTTGCACATGTTTACACATCTTTTCCACAAGTATGCTAACCTTTAAAACTAAGGACAACAAAAACGGAAAGAAAAAATGAAATATGTTAAGTCTTTATCTTTGGTACAATAGTAGAATATTGTTGTGATAAAAATTTGAATTCCTACCCCTCTAATTGGATCCTCAAGAAATGTGTGAAAGGGTGCACAACCACAAATAATAAATTACTGTATCCTTAAAGGGACACTAGTCACCAGATCAACTACAGCTTATTGTATTTTTTCTGGTGTGCATAATCATTCCATTCAGGTTTTTTGCTGTAAACAGTGTCTTTTCAGAGAAAAGGCAGTGTTCACATTACAGCCTAGGGACACCTCCAGTGGTGGCCACTCAGGTGGCGACTAGAGGTGCTTCCTCGAGCACTGCTGCACAGTGTGCAGTACTTCACCCTCTGCATGGAGACACTGAACTTTCGTCCGATGTATTGATTTGATTCATCTCCATGCAGAGATTCTGATCAGCAATGTTTGGCTTCACCTCCTGCTCTACCTCCTTGTCAATCTAAGCCAATCCAATGCTTTCCTATGGGATGATGATATCAGCCACGGAGGCAAATCACATAACAAATATGGACTGCACTTCTCCAACTATTCCCCAAGAACCTGAACAGAGGCATGGGAGGGCTGGAATAACTATCTGAAGCACTCCAAACCACCCCCCAAGTGAGCTTACATGGGCGGATGCCTACAAACCGACAGCTGTGTTCCTCTAAAAATAGGAAATGAAATTGTAACTGTAACATTGATTGAAACACTGAGTGTGATACTGGACTATAAAGTAGCAGTGCATAGCCAACACCACCCACATTGCTGAGAGACGGCAAAAGGCTGGTAGCGGGCGAAATGGAAAAGTGTACAGCGGCCACCTAGCTGGCGAAACCATACCTCCCTAAACTCCGTGCTGGCACTTGGAAGTGTATCCGAACCAAGCCCCCACCCCCTTCCCTAAGCCCCCCCTTCTTTACCCCTACCATTGCAGTTATCTTAAGCCACACTACCCCTTCCCTAAATCTTTAAGTACAGCACAGAGTTTGCTGCCATGTGCAGGACTCTCTTTTACACAGTCCATCATGACACACCATTGAAATGGTACAGTAAAAAAACGAAAATATAAAAATGTTATAATGTACTATGCTGCGATTACTAGCAAAATGTTAAGAGCCGCATGCTGCGGAATATTTGGCTGTAATGGGTATTGAAATGTATATATGGTATTTCTCCCCCCTCCCCCCCTGAAAATCTTAATAAAAATTGTCAAAATTAAAGAAAACAGGGACTGCACTCAACCAAACAGGTTGCTAAGCTGAGGAGGCAGATCACAGCAGAGCCAGCAGCAGGCTGGAATAAAGGTAAGATTTTACTAGATGTATTGGGCCAGGGGTGTTAGATGATGGTTTTAACACTATAGTGTCAGGAATACATGTTTGTGCTTCCATGGATCCTAATTGAACCCTAATGTTATAGTCCATATTGCAGATTTTACATCCTTTGTCATTTTACAAGTCCATTCTCTCTCTTGATTTTCCCAAGATGCTAAATTTTTAATAGTGATGTGTGTACATTGCAGATATCAAACCACTGCTGGGAAATTGGTCTCTTAGGATACAATCCGTTGTAGGGAAGAGATGGGTTTTTCCTCCGGTCTTTGTCATTGACTACTTTCCAAAACTCCTTACCTTTGAAAAGAAAGAGGGAGCTATGCATGTATGAATAATAGGCTGCATTAATGTGTCCTCGTGGGTGATTGTTTGGTACAATTGCTGGAAAAACATCAATGATTCTCTTGGGAAAATTTGGAGCAACTTTATTTCGATTGATGTCAAAAGCATAAACCTAAGAGAGTGGAAAAAAATCTGTAACTTAAAATTCTGAACTGCATTATAAAAACATGTGCCACATATCTTATCAAGAATCTTTCATTTTATAGTCATTATTAATAAGGCCCCTGTGTTTTTCATAAAAATTATATCTTCATGAAAAAACACAAAGATCGCAATGACTTGTAATTCTGCAAGTCAGCCGTGCTTCCAGTATGGCTACTTTATCCATAATTTTTTATTTCACTTGGAATCCCCCTTTAGTGAATAAAAATGTATAAGTTCATGCGCGTATACTAGTGACACAGATCTTGGCAGATGAAGCTGATATCTCCATATAAGAACATGGAGGCAGTCAGGAGAGAGAGATGGGGCAGATTTCCCTTTACCCATTTTTATGGATCTTCCCCAACCTTAACCCTCACATATTCTCTTTTATCTCTCTTTAATGCTCTGTTATGTATTTAAAACCATGTCACTACTCGCCGGGTCACTTACTAAAGTAAAAATTCATGGTGAATTTCCATTTTAAGACCGAGAAGCCAAACATAAGAAAGTATAGCGCTGGCTTAAAGGGTTACCCAGCCACCATAACCACGTCGGTGATTTGGTGGTAGGAGTGTGTGTTTGCACATCATGAGATGCTTGAAAACTAGTGCGGTGGGCAAGTTGCATCCCCAGGGCACGCGACTTAGGCCGCCCAGAACTGTGTTCCAGGCTACCTACTATCAATTCTGTGCATAATTTACCTATGTTGTCCATACGCACCGCATGCTGCCGACAGATGTAACTGCTTCTCGCTTCCACGCTGAATGTAGTCCTCCCACCCGCCCTATCCACTCTGCTGCTTTTTTTTTTTTTAATCCCTTCTCTATGAGAAACCTTTGATTGGACCACAGCACTGATCCAGTGATGTTTTTGTAGGGGGACTGATATAATAATGGCAATAGGGAATTATTCTGTTCTGTACAAAAGAGGGCTGGAGAATTTTTTTTTTTTTTTTCTTCTTCAGTTTGGCTCTTTTGACCTTAACGGGACACTATAGTCGCCAGAACAAATACAGCTCTTAATGCAATTGTTCTGGTGGCTATCGTATATCCCTTCTTAGAAAAGGCAGTGTTTACCTCTAGTGGCAGTTACTGAGCTGGCCACTAGAAGTTCTTCCTGGGTCAGTGCTCCTCAATGCATCTCTATGAGAAGATGCTGATTGAGACAGCACAGCATTTTGCAGTGCATGCGCAATGCTTTCCCATGGGAGTGATCTCACCTTTTAGAGGCAGAAGAGGGGGTGGGGGACTTAAATAGTGGTGTTAAAACCATAGTGTTTCTATAAATGCTTCTATTCCTGACACTATAGTATAGTGAAACTTGAAATTCATTTTTAAATCAACTTTGAATTTTCACTTTAGTAAATATCCCTGTGTGTTTTAGGATTTATTTGAAATATGACGTGCAGAGTTAGCATATCAAGTACAAAAAACAATCTTGTGTCTGAATTGCTGCTCAGAAAACTAAAGAAAAAAAAATCTGCAGGAATATTGGCATGTGCTGGCATATCATACATGTGCCATGAGAATAGCTGGTCACATTGCATTTTTATACAATAAGTAAGCAATGCATGGTCGATGGAAATTTGTATGGAATTTCCTGATGTTTTTGAGAATACATAATCCCAAAATTCTATCAAATTATAAACAATGTTATAAACCCACCTATTGTAAACACAGCTTCATTCATAAACCCAGGCATCTATATCCAATGTGCTTTGCAGAAGGTAGAAGGAAATTAGACCAGTGTGTGTGTGTACGCTTTGGCTAATGGAGGGGTTTTTAGAATATATAATCACATTGTGTTTAGTGACACATCATATTAAAAAAAAAATGTCTTTCTTTTTTTTAAATCATGAAAATTAGGTATTCTTGTAAATTCAAGGCTTATATAAAATATTTAAATAATATATATAGGATATGATTTTAATTCTCAGCTCTGTGTGCGTGTTATTAAGTGGAGGGTAAATCATGAGCTTCTGATGGGCTATCTTATGTAATTCAACATGGCAACAAGATCCCCCGGAGGTAACGGTAAAAGCTTCAATGGACACAGTGTAATCAGCAATGAGCATAACTAACTTACTCAAAGGCTCTCTATTGCCTCTACAATACCAGATGGCTATTATCACTGCCAATGCTTCATCAAAGAAAAAAATGAAGATGGCATTTTCGTACAGCAAAGCATGATTTGTTAACATGCTATTATACAAACCAATCCTTCATTGACCCCACTATGATCATCAATATCCATAAAACATTCTACTTAAAGGTAGCTTTCATGCAATCTTCAAAAGTAAAGGTTAACTACATTTACCTGTGTCTCTCTAAAGAAGAATACATGTTGAGTACGTCTGTCAAAAAAAGCTGTGTCGATTGGGCTTGGGATCCCGGGAAAGCCCTCCGAGATGAGCCTTGGGTAAGTCTGTCCTTGGGAATCTTGTGCGTAGGCCTGGTCTTTGTCTCTGTCATAACGCCAGTACTGAATACCTTGAAAGGGAAGTCACATGGTAAACGTTTATTGTTGTTGCATTAAAGACATGTTTATTCTGTTACAAAATTATATATGGAGATCTACATTGCATATTGTTTTATAATTATTATTTTACTTTCTACTCACAAATCACATTCCTTGTTTGTAGTCATTCCCCATTAACTGCATTTATTTTTAATAAGGGGCAGGTTCAGAGGGTGAAATTTATTGGGGACATTATAATGCTTTGTGCGGAATTAGTGATTAAAGTACAGTCCCTGTGTGGGTAAAACTAATAAAATATAAGATTTATTAAAGAAACAGAAGATTTGGACTTTTTAAAATAAAAACTACATTAACAAAGTAATTATAAGAAAACCTATCTGCATTATTAAGATGCCTCGAGAACTTGAAGTATGCCAGTTACTGTGCTCAAACATAGTCAATACTACAGTAAGACACTTAGGGTTTTTAAATATAAACCTGATAGAGGGGACTCTATCGAAGTCTTTTGCCCACTAAAGAAGGCGTCTGCCCCACTGGCAGATGAGTGATATCTTCACCACACATCTCACACCTGATAAGCTGTGAGGCATTTAACTTTAAAATTCTATGTAATGCCAATGCCAATCTTGCTATGTTCACGTTTAAAAGAACAGCCCAATGTATTGGTTATGGAGTGGAAATATACAGCGTCGGTCAAAGAGGGAAAAACTCCTCACCGGAGCCAGTGGTGTATCCTGGTTTTGTGCTGCCCTAGGCAGGACAAAACTCAGGCACCCCCCCGCGCAACCGCCACCCAACCTTCCCCCCTGCTCCGCCTTCCATATACACACACACACACATTCACTGACAGATACGCATTCACTAGCTAACATACACACACTCACTAACGGACACTCACAGGCAAACACACACACACTAACAGGCAAACACACACACTAACAGACATCCACACTAACAGACACACACACACTAACACACACACACTAACAGACATCCACACACACACACTAACATACACACACTAACAGACATCCACACACACACACTAACATACACACACTAACAGACATCCATACACACACACTAACATACACACACTAACAGACATCCATACACACACTAACAGACATCCATACACACACACTAACATACACACACTAACATACATACACACACTAACAGACATCCATACACACACTCACTAGTTTTTTTTTAATTTTTTTATTTAACCCCCCCCAGCCTCCTTACCTTTGGTAATGCTGGGGGGGGTTCTTCCTCTCCCTGGGGTCCAGTGGCTGCAGGGCGGGCGGCCGCCGAGGGAGCTCTTCCCCTGAGCGCTCTGCTCAGCTCCCTCGCGCGCCGCCAGCAGAGTGAGGCTGGGAGCCGGAATATGACGTCATCAACCCGGCTCCCAGCCTCACTCTGCTGGCGGCGCGCGAGGGAGCTGAGCAGAGCGCTCAGGGGAAGAGCTCCCTCGCCGGCCGCCCGCCCAGCGCTGCAGCCACTGCCGCCCAGCGCACAGAATGTCTGTTAGCCGCGAGGCTAACAAGACATTTGCCCAGTGGTGTATCCTGGTTTTGTGCTGCCCTAGGCAGGACAAAACTCAGGCACCTCCCCGCGCAACTGCCACCCAACCTTCCCCCCTGCTCCGCCTTCTAAATACACACACACACACACATTCACTGACAGATACGCATTCACTAGCTAACACACTCACACTCACTAACGGACACACTCACAGGCAAACACACACACTAACAGACACACACACACTAACATACACACACTAACAGACATCCATACACACACTAACTAACATACACACACACACTAACATACACACACTAACATACATACACACACTAACAGACATCCATACACACACTCACTAGTTTTTTTTAACCCCCAGCCTCCTTACCTTTGGTAATGCTGGGGGTTCTTCCCTGGTGGTGGAAGGGCGGCCGAGTGCAGTGCTTCGCCAGTTTCCTCAGCCGCCAGCAGAGTGAGGGTGGGAGCCGGAATATGACGTCATCAACCCGGCTCCCAGCCTCACTCTGCTGGCGGCGCGCGAGGGAGCTGAGCAGAGCGCTCAGGGGAAGAGCTCCCTCGCCGGCCGCTCGCCCGCCCGCTCGCCCAGCGCTGCAGCCACTGCCGCCCAGCGCCCAGAATGTCTGTTAGCCGCGAGGCTAACAAGACATTTGCCTTGGGCATTTGGGGGGCGGCATTTTTTGCCGCCCCCTGAAAAATGCCGCCCAAGGCAAATGCCTTGTTTGCCTCGCGGCTAATACACCCCTGCATTTGCCTTGGGCATTTGGGGGGCGGCGTTTTTTGCCGCCCCCTGAAAAATGCCGCCCAAGGCAAATGCCTTGTTTGCCTCGCGGCTAATACGCCCCTGACCGGAGCTGTAGTGGGTTGTAGGGTATTGTGAGCATAACCCAGGGTAAGGATAATTAGAAAGACTGAAAAGGATTTGCACAAAAATGCAAGCACTATATCCATCCGATACCCCTAATAGAGGCTTTAGTGATAGGCATATAGTGCCTAGATTTATAAAAACCCAAAGGAAAAAAATAACTTTGAGTCCCTAGTTGGGTATACATATTGAGAACGAAAGACAATAAATTTGTGATTTAGAAAGTGCAAAGAAAGAGAAAAAAGGACAAAACATGAAATAGTTAAAATAGGGCCGTACTCTGAAGCCTGTTGTAACAGGTTTGAATATGTCTGATACCTTGCCGAGCAAGAACCCATCTAAATATTTTGTAGATCGGATTTGCACCAGGAGATATAATAAATTGTAACTACAAGTATTTGTATCTTGTGGATATAGTTACAGGATATAAACGATTGCAACTACAGGTATTTGTATTTTAGATATATAGTTACAAGAAAAAGCCTAGTATATGGGTATCTAGGAACTCAACATGTCACATATATAAATATCCAAAGTAACTGTTTCTGACTTGCATACAAGAGCCTGCAAGAGTAGGGTCATGTCTCACCTACCACTCCAACTGCATCCCATCCCATGCCAGCTGATAATTTTGTTGGCCCCACCCTACTCCTTTCCCTCCCTCCCTTTGTATTCAGTGATGGCTCACATGTAAAACAGTACCCTCTACGTAAAGGTTTTATGGTGTTTTGGGAAGTTACAGGGTCAAATATAACATGTTACATATTTCTGTTTTATTTTCACATCGAAATTCTCCAGATTGGTTATATTGCCTTTGAAACCGTATGGTATCCCAGGAATGAGAATTACCCCCATGATGGCATACCATTTGCAATAGTAGAGAACCCAAGGTATTGCAAATGGGGTATGTCCAGTCTTTTTTAGTAGCCACTTGGTCACAAACACTGGCCAAAGTTAGCGTTAATATTTGTTTGTGTGTGAAAAATGCAAAAAACGAATTTGAAAGCCAATTTTGGCCAGTGTTTGTGACTAAGTGGCTTCTAAAAAAGACTGGACCTACACCATTTGCATTACCTTGTGTTGTCTACTATTGCAAATGGTATGCCATCATGGGGGTAATTTTTATTCCTGGACTACCATACGGTCTCAAAAGCAACGTAACCAATCTAGCGAATTTCAATGTGAAAAAACTGAAATGCAAGCCTTTTATTTAACTTTGTAACTATTAAATACACCATAAAACCTGTACATGAGGGATACTGTTAACTCTGGAGACTTTGCTGAACACACATATTAGTGTTTTAAAACAGTAAAACGGATCACAATTATGTCCGTGTAAGTGCCAAAATGCAAAAAATGTCACTCACTGACTATATCATCGTTGTAATACATTTTACTGTTTTGAAACACTAATATTTATGTTCAGTGAAGTCTCCCGAGTAAAACAGTACCCCCCATGTACAGGTTTTATGGTGTCTTAGAAAGTTACAGGGTTAAATATAGTGCTAGCAAATTAAATTCCCTGGACTTTCTTCAGGTCCTGCACATTGTAATAAATAAAATAACCTAACTATATAAAAATATTACATAAATATATATGTGTGTGTGTGTGTGTGTATATATATAGTGATATGTTCTTCATACACTATTGATTGAGACAATTAACAGAATGTTACTATTTTAATTTATAAGGAACCATATGAGTTTATCAGCATATGGATTATTATAATTTAAAGACACAATTTTTCAGGATCTTAAAATACAATCTTAGCTTTTTACTTCTTAGTACAATTTACAAATACGTGTTTTTTTTGCTTATTGTAAACACCATTCATTAGACTTAGCTGGACTGAGTTTGTTATTTACTCAGGTGATCTATACACAAAGTTCTACGACAATGTTTTACCAGCTAGCCCAGAATTGTGTCCTATCTCCTTTCTCCTTATGTGTGTCTCTCTGTGTATCTTTTAGGTGTGTTTATCATGGGGTTATATGTCATACCTTATATGTTAACCTTCTGACCTGGCCCAATTACATTTTGTGGCAAGTCATTATGTTAATGGCTGTTGACGTCATTTTGAGATATATATTTCTATATATCTTAAATAGTAGATGGAGCTGTGGTCTACATCAGGAATGTTACCAGCTATTATCATATAGGGTTAAACTTTGTTCAGGACAATTTAGGGATGTTTAATTTCAAGATGCTTTGGTCAGCATTTCTTCTTTTCTCTCTCACACCAATAACCCAATGTGTCCTTGCTCACCTAAGCGTTATGGCAATGTCAGGATATTTAAGCTGTCTACTTACTTTATCCTTATTGCTAATTACATACATATATCTATTTTCTATATATGTAAATTGCTAACTTAGGATATATCACACTATATTTCTATTTTTATATATAATGAAACTTTTATACTTTGAGTGATATATGTGTTTGCTGAACACATACTTTTAATTAACACATACTTGTCTTATCTGTTTTCTTATCTTTTATTGATACAGATGTATTACTCACTGTGTGGCTCTTTTAGCTGACAGGGTCATACTTTGAGAAAAACATCTTGTTTCTTCACTTTAGCACCTTATGGCATATTAGCTAAATTGTGTTTTTGCTATTATGCATGTATTTTTTTAATCACACAATATATACATATTTCCTTCCTACACAATATCTCTGACAGCACCAAGACCATTTACGTTTATCGAAGTGGTCTGGGTGCAATATCCAGATTCCACTTAGTCCTGCAATGTAAATCATTGCCGTTTTTGATAAACTGCGATTATTACATTGCAGGACTATGATTGCCTCTAGTGGCTGTCAATCAGAGAGCCACTAGAGGCGCATACTGGATCCTAATGGACTCCAGGTCACATAACTGATGCTATGCACGCTATGCATGAGGACATCCAGCATCATTATAATCCACATAAGAAAGCATTGAATCAGTGCCTTTATTTGGGAGGGCCTAATGCAATCGCCACGCATGCACATTAGGTCCCCCGTCAGATTAAGGAAGAGGCGGAACGCTGAGGGATTTTGGCGCTGGAATCGAGTGAGTAATCCGAAGTTGTTTGAGGGAGGCTGGGAGGGGGCTGGGGACACTAGGTATACAGATTTGTATTCCTTACACAATAGAATTCCTTTAAACACCCCAGTTTTATTCTGTGTATATCTATCCCCACTACTTGCTGTCAATGAATGCAATGTCACTCAGACTCTGTAGTTAGAATACTGCACAGATTTGAACTCTTTCTGCCATTTCATATATAAATATATATTTGTTAATCATCACTGACCTTTTGAAACAGGAAAACGTACAAAATTATTATTTCATGAAGACTCCCCTTTTAAAATAAAATATATAAAATTACCACAGCCTTTGGTTTTATGTAAAAAGTGGAAGTAGAATGAAAAAAAATGGTGCGAATAGTGTACATCTAAAGTGACTGTCTTATAAAATCCTGTAGTCAGCAGTTAATCACAAAATATGTCTGATTGCAGATATCACATACGCTCTGCAGCCTTTTTTTTGTTATATGATAATTCCAGCTAATTTGCTATAGCTTTGTTAGTTGATGATAAAGAGTACATACACTGTTTGCAAAATGTTCAGGTAATTCCTGTTTGTAGATTTCTTACCATACAAATGCATGCTAGACCTTCATTCAACTTCAAATTCAAATGTTACATCAAGTATCTCAGTAAATCTCTCTGAATTTACAATATGCCAGACAAGAAAGTGGTTTGTGATTAAAACCAATCTGCCCACTACTCATAAAGTAATGTTAATGCCTTATCTATAGGAAGTTAACAATAACTAAGGAGATTGAACTACGGTATTTATTATGAACTTTTTTGTTTCACAGAAATTATATTTTCATTTTAAAATATCAGCTATATTTAATATTAAGGAAATAAGATATTAATCTTAGCTATCTGATTACAAAGCCCAGAGAGATAAATTGCTAATAAACCCATGCTTCTCCAGTATGTTTTTGAATTACAACTCTGACTGGCTGTGACAGGAGTTGGAAGTCCAACAGGAACTGTAAATTATGGTAATTGAAGTCCAACAATTAAAGTTATGTGTCTGTAAGTAGTCATAACTTTCTAATCTGCACTGAGACCTGGAAGGCCGGAATCTTCAAAATGGCTTATGTCTGCCTTGAACCCACATCAAAATTACATGGTCACTAATATTTTTTAAATTTTTGTTTATTTTTACATATAAATGCAGTTTAAAACAGTGTTCCCAATGTTTCCCACTGGTACTCATCTTGAAATGGCATGCCAATTTTAAGACCCTTAAAGACAGTTGCTGATTATAAAAGACTGCAGAGCATATGTGATACTGGGACCAATCAGAATCAGATTCTACAATTCAGATGTATGGAAAAGAGCATCTTTGAGAAAAGAAAATATTGATGAGAAGCCCATATTGGCAAGAAATTGTTCATTACATTTTTACCAAAAAATAGCTCATACCTTTGAAAAAATAAGTGGCATCTCTAGTCCAAGTCCACACGTGAAGAAAAGCATTAATGTTCTGGATGGGAATTCCTGGCCAACCTGTAGATATAGGAATTGGATCTCCGTACCGTGTCCTATTATTTCGATTTTCGTACATCCAGTACCAACCATTTCTGAAGAAGTAAGAGTTGTATCTCACAACCATCTCCCCATATTGGTTCCTCTCCTTATGAACCCAATCAAAGGCTGTATCAAAAGGTCCTTCACAAGAACCTGAAAGCAAAATTAAAGAAAAAGTACTTTAAATAAAGCAAAACTGAATTAGCAACTCATCTGATGAGGGATCTTTAATTAGTTCAGGATGACTGACAGATCTAAGTGATGTTTTGGAATCCGTGTTGCCGTAATTGATGGGAACCATACGTTAAGCTCTGTCCAATTCTAATACCAATAACCTTGAGACGCTACCATGTTGACAGCCACTAGAGATGCATCCACTGCAACGACCGAGTATAAGTCGGTCATGCTTCTTAATACCTCGAAAGTTAAATCCAAACTTTCCCCTTTACCCCTAATCCTCAATTTAATTACGTTAACCCCAACTCCCAGACCCTTTTGTTTCCGATGCCAATCCCTACATCTAGAACGTGAGATTGAGGTTACCTCAACCCTGGCGCGTTTTACCCCATTTCCTAAACCAACTACTAACTGAAATATACATAACTAACAAATTCCATCGAATACAAAAGTGCTAAAATGGCGGGTCCGTAGATCACTATCACGTCTTAAAAATTTGTACAAATAGTACTATGCAGAACACATGGTACTCTGCAGTCTTTGCAAGCCCTCCCCTTCCAACCCTGCCCAGACCTGCTGTAGCTGTCCAATCACAGACTTTCCATTGCAGCTCAATGAGAAATCTTTGCAATGCAAATGTCTGACACCTGAATTTACCTCCATTGATCTAACCCACCATAACATAACATAGGACCAGTTGCCTGTTTGACAGCCAGGGTGTATAAAAAGGTTAATTTATAAAAGAGCAATTTTGATTGAAATCTGCACTTTTTGCAAAATGAAATAAGATACACTACACACATAAAACACTTCAGCGAGCTAAAGTACTTTAGGCGTTTGTAATATTTTTCAAATTTTTGTTGGACTTCATGTAGAATACAATAAGGGAGAACATTTAAAGATCTAACATTCTGTGATATACAAGTACAGTGAAAAACACATTACGATTCTCTCTCCCCCCTCCCAGTCTTAATTATAGATCGCTGTTTATGTTTATGGTAAGAGATTTTGCAGCCTTTACTGGATTTCTGTATCATATTCTTTTAATGAATGAAATGCTTTACATGACATAAGCACTGTTTATTAGGTATGTGCGATCAGACAAAAACCAGACTAAATGTTGCTTTAGAAGATTGCTGTATTTCAGCAGGCTTCTAGAAAGATTTATTCAGAACTTGTAGAATTATTTGACGAACAGGAAAGAAGATTTCTCGCTCTCTGTGTCAAAAAGACACTTTATAAAGATTGCTTTCGTCCTGAGGAAAAAAAAAATGATAATGTGACACCTGGATGTGAGAAAAACCAGTAAAAAGATGGCCTAATTTACTTGTTTAATGTTCTGTCTTCTGAATGCAATCCACTGCATGCCGTGATTCTTTATATGAAAGCCAAGAACGAAAAAAAAATGCTTAACAATCCTTCGTACAAAACGTTCAATAGCAGGGAGCCTAGAGCTGTCCGAGAATGAACAAGAAAAGTGGAAAAAATAGGTAAATTAAAAAAAAGAGGAAAAAAGAATATATATATATATATATATATATATATATATATATATATATATATAAAAACAACAACAAAAAGAATCACTTTATCAGAAATAGGCTTTTACCATTTCTAAGTGTTACTGTCTTAGTCAGACAGGTGCACGAACGGATTGTTACTTTGTTGATAAACCTCGTGCACGGGGGTAGGTCTGTTTTTAACATTACAACACGTGTAATCTGCATTTAGTTTCACAGCTGCATGTCACAATTTCAAGTCAAGAACAAACTTCCCCATAAAACACCTTCTGTTATAATCAGAAATAATGGCTTGTGCTCTCAACCTCTCATCCGTGATAAGTTTACTCTGCATAAAAATAAAATTTATTTTGACACAGGAAAAGAATATAAAATGATTACACACAGTTGGTAACATAAAGTGAGCGAAAACATTTGTCACATATAATATGCAATCTGTATTTATTTGTATTTTAAATAAAGATGTTTCACCTTCTGTTCATGCCTTGTTTGAGGAATTGTGCCAGTCTGAATTCCTGTGTTTTAACCTATTGTGGGTCGCAGCACAGACCACATATAGTCTGGTAATGAACTCCCTATCCTTCTTGCATTTAGCATATTAAAGGACCACTACAATCACCCATGCCACTTCATCTCACTGAAGTGGCCTGGGTGCAGTTATCCGGTCATTTTATCCATTCAAGGTAAAACCTTGCTGTTTTTCAAAAATGGTAATGTTTAATTTGAAGGGTTAAACAAGCTCATACTGTCAGACTAGAGACGCTTCCACTGCAACGACAGAGTAAAACTTGGTCAAGCGGTGTTAAACGTCGAACATCACAGATTGGTGCTCATAGGAAAGCACTGAATTCAATGTTTTCCTATGGGGAAACTTGAATGCTCACACAGCACTTACTGCACATGAGCATCAGGTCCCCAATGCTTCTCCAGGAGAAGCTTGGGATTGGACCATCACCAGAGAAAGCCATGCCTCCTCAATTATGTTGAGGGAGGAGGAAAGGACAGCATCACCAAGGGAGTCTCTGATGGAAAAGCCTTTCTTTTTCTTTTTAAATTTAATTTATGGTGAACGAGGAGGTTTGGCAGACAGGGACACTACAGACTTCGAAATACAGGTTTGAATTCCTAATGCTTTAAATGTTCCTTTAAGAAAATTAATAGGCTCTCAGATGGGGGAACCTTGGATCCTACTTAGGCCTCGATAAATAATGTTGAATGAGCTTTTCAAATGATTTCATATTTTTAGATACACACTTAAGCAATTTAATATTATGAAAAATATTATTTTTTTATATATATGATATATTTTTGCTATTTTATTATGTTGAGAAAATAATTTACTAATAACAGTTTATCCAAAATATTAAGTCATTTTGGAAGCTTGTCAAACAATATTTAATTGAAGCCTTTAGTATGACGAGATTACTCATAGTGAGCTTCTAAGAAAACCCATCACTTGCTGACAAGGTTAACCACAAATAATGAGTTTATTAAACACTTTTACAAGCGTGTGCTAGAGTTGTAAAATAGATTCCTGCTTCACTTACACATCCCCTGGCTTCAAATTGGTTAAATTAAATTCTAAGTTGAGATTTCAATGCATTAATATGCACCAGTGGCACACTATTATTACAGCATAGTCATCAATTTTGCACAGTGACAGCCATAATCCAAAAGTAATTTTCTTAAGATCCATCTAATGGCTGTACAGTAGCCAACAGTGATCTATTTATGTACAGTAAGGCAGGCAAGCTGCATGGCACGGTGAGATGGATGGATGTGGTGTAGTGTGGATCATTAATCTCATTGGTTTTTTGACGCACGTTCCCTCGGGAAGCCCCAAGCTACTTTCTATTTTGATAAACCTCTAACCTTTTCAAATCCTAAAAAAAAAAAAAAACCTCTATTTTAGGAGTTTTAACTAGCTGCCCCACACAGATTACTCTTACCGTATAGGCTTTGTATTGCTTTTCGGTCAGACCAGTCCAATTCAAACCCTGATTCTTGGGGAATGTAATTGGGCTGCATAATTGAACCGGGTCGGTAGATGTGAGAGAGACCCAAAACGTGACCGATTTCATGAACTGCAACCTTGAGGAAAAAAAAAAAATCATATTATAAGACAAATCTTACTTATAGATTGACATTTGACCCCTGCAAGTACACAACCCCTTTGGAACTCAAATATTTAAAGTACTCTGGATGCCGTCCATTTGGGCATATAAGGAACTGAGAACAATGTAATTGGTGGCCCAAATCCGTCAATTCAGGTTTTGCCCTTGCTAGTCCGCCTGTATAACTAGCCACTAACCAATGCCATCAATGTCATTCTTTGTTCCACTGTGTATTGTATTGGTTTTAATGTGTAACCTTCACGTGGGTGTAACTTTGGGAAACACTTTAAACTAGGGGACGCTAAAAACCTTAATGCTGGCAAAGCTTTATTGGAGTAGTTATCCTACATCAGCCATGAATCTATCTTTTGACCACCCTTAAAGTATAGAAATTGAAGAAGGTTTGAGGTTTTATATTAAGATGTATCTTGCAGAATATCCAGCAGAAGGTCTTGCACTACGTGGTGTTCTGTGAAAGAATGAATATAAATACATCAATGACTGGTTCGGTAGTGGAACTTTTGTGAACTAAGTTTTCTGGGATTCTCAGTCATGATTGCTAATGAACTAGATCGTAAGCTTAAATGGCCATCGGAGTGATATAAAAAAATGCCAGTTATTTAAATGTGCATAGGGATTTGGAATAGTGCGCAAGAAACATTTCTTTGCTTTTTATTGTATGTATTGGGGCAGATGTGTACCATAGTCGTTTCTGCCACCCAGGAGTAGAGGAAGTCTGAGCGCTCGGCTTAATTTTGACGATTTTATGCATGTTTGGGCTGGGCCTTCCTAGCCGACTTTTCCTGTTTGTCAAATGTATTTTATTAGAAGTTTGTCTTTTTTTTTTAACCTATTCTACAGCGCTGCAGAAAATGTTGGTACTATATAAATAATTGTCATTGTTTGAGCAGGGCCTTCTGCATCGCTTTCGTCTGTCAACATTATTTTCGTGTGTTAATTATTTATTGTTAAATATCCTCAATGCATAATTGTAAAGTGCTCCATAAAATGATGGCACTACATAAATGCTAATAATAATAACAACAACAAGGTACACGGTATCACATGACAACAGCTGACTTTTTTTAAAGGGATTCTATAGTGCCAGGAAAACAGTCATTAAAAGATCCCCCCCCCCCCGCCCCTCTGGGCCCCTCTCCCATGTCGCTGAAGGGGTTAAAAGCCCTTCAGCCACTTACCTGAATCCAGCGCCGATGTCCCTTGGTGCTGGGTCAGGTTCCGCCCAAGCTCCTCACGCGCCGGCTGACGATGGCCAAAAATCTGGGGAAAATCTGATGCTGGAGGTTCATGAGGACGTCAGATAATGGACCAAAAGTCTGTTTGGATTCCGGAAGCCTTCTAGTGGCAGACTTAGAGCTGCAATGTAAACATTACAGTTCTCTGGAACTCCAATGTTTTACATTGCAGCACTAAGTGCAAAAGGGTCACAGCACCCAGACCACTTCAATTAGCTGAAGTGGTCTGGGTGCTTATAGTGTCCCTTTAAGCTACCGTACATGACATTTAGGAGTCTTAAACAACAGGTGTCACAGGGCTTCTAATTTACCAGGTCAAACACAGTGTTCTACTTATAATTCAGTAACTGAACAATATTGCTCTTTACATAGAGTATTTGCCACTCGATGTGGTTCCTATATTCAAAAAGGGTTCAAAATCATTGCCTGGAAATTATAGACCTGTGAGCTTAACTTCTGTGGCTGGGAAAATATTTGAAAGGTTATTAAGGGATAATATTCAAGAATTCCTTGAGAAGAACATGGTTATCAGAAAATCAGCATGGTTTTATGAAGCACAGGTCATGTCAAACTAACTTGATTGCGTTCTACGAAGAAGTAAGTAGAAGTATAGATCAGGGTGTTGCAGTGGATGTGATCTATTTGGATTTTGTCAAGGCATTTGATACAGTTCCACACAATAGATTAGTGTTCAAACTCAAGGAAATCGGTCTAGATGAAAATGCTTGTTCTTGGGTAGAACATTGGCTTAAAAACAGAGTACAAAGAGTTGTCATTAATGTTACATTTTCAAGCTGGACAGAGGTGGCAAGTGGTGTCCCTCAGGGGTCTGTTCTGGGACCCCTTCTATTTAACATGTTTATAAATGATCTTGAAGACATCATTGAAAGTCATGTTTCAGTGTTTGCAGATGACAAAACTTTGTAAAATAATACAATGTGAGCAAGATATTACTTTGCTGCAGAGGGATTTAGATAGACTGGGGGACTGGGCACTCAAATGGCAGATGAAATTGAATGTTGAAAAATGCAAAGTTATGCACTTTGGCGTAAAGAATACACAAGCAACGTATACCCTTAATGGAAGCAAATTAGGGATAACAACACGAAAAGGACTTGGGAATTGTTATAGACAACAAACTATGCAACAATGTGCAATTTCAATCAGCAGTGGCCAAGGCCAGTGAGGTATTGTCATGCATGAAAAAAGGCATTCATTCTCGGGACGAGAATATCATTTTGCCTCTTTATAAATCACTGGTAGGTCCACATATTGAATATGCTGTGTAATTTTGGGAACCTGTTCTAAAGAAGGATATTATGGCACTAGAAAAAGTGCAGAGGCGGGCTACATTAATAAAAGGAATGGAACATATCGGCTATGAAGAAAGATTAACAAATTTAAACCTGTTTAGTTTAGAAAAACGTCGAGAGGGGATATGATAACATTATACAAATATATTCGGAGCCTATACAAACCACTGTGTGGAAATCTATTCGCAAACTGGACTTTACATAGGACACGAGGTCATGCGTTTAGACTGGAAGAAAGAAGATTTCGTCTAATGCAAAGGAAAGGTTTTTTTACTCTAAGAAAAATAAGGATGTGGAATTCTCTGCCTGAAGAAGTGGTTTTATCAGAGTCCATACAGATGTTCAAACAGCTACTAGATGCATACTTGCAAAAACAGAATATTCAAGGATATAATCTTTCAATGTAAGGTAATAACTGCTTGATCCAAGGTTAAATCTGACTGACATTCTGGGGTCAAGAAGGAATTTGTTTCCTAGCTTGTTGCAAAATTGTGCTTCAAACTGGGTTTTTGCCTTCTTTTGTATCAACAGCAAAAAACATATGTGAGGAAGGCTGAACTTGATGGACGCAAGTCTCTTTTCAGCTATGTAACTATGTAACAAAGTGAGATATTTACTAAATCATGATTTCCAGCAACACACTAAAATTTAGAACAAAAGACGTAGCTGGAAAATGCCCTTTAAGTAGTAGATTATTTCCAGTTTGGCTATTTTGACCTAGTTTTTGATTGCAGCAGAACTTACTGTTTAGTGAATAGACCCCCATTGTACTATTACCACTGTATGAACTGCTTTATTACCATATCAGCATGTAACCTACACAAACCCTTATCCCAGCGAGACATACATTGAAGTAACAAAGCCTGCAGTGAATTACCATATCAAAAAAAATGTAACGCTCAAAGATATCAGTGGGGAAGACAGACACTTTCCACAGGGAGACGGGTTTATAAAATTTTATATTCTCAAGCAAAAGTGGTTTTTTTTTTGTTTTTTGTTTTTTAAATCTCTGTAATACTTTAACTTTTATAATACTTTTCATTAGAACGGCAATCATTGTTAAGTCAAGTGAACATCAATTACATTTTTTTTAATATTCAATAGGAAAATGTCCCTTTCTGTGCCTTGATAATCAGCATTCAAAAAACTTGTCGGTTTATTCAAAGTTATGCAATATTTATATATTTTCTTTTTTTTGTTTTTACCTTGCAAGTTTCTTTGGGGAGAATAGATTTTAGTATGTATGTTCTGGGAAAATACTCTGCACGTATGCTGCTGGGTCTTATTTTTGTCAGTTTTCCTAATTAATTCTATCACATCGGGATGGAATATATAACGGAAATGGAATAAGAGAAGCAGATTCCATGAATGAATGAGCTCCAAGCAACAGGGAGTCGTCACCCCCACACTGCATACTTTCTCAGAGTTACAGATCAACACTACTTCATAATTGGTCTGCGTTAGCAAAGACTGAAAGTGACACAATGTGACATCGTATCGCAAGGTCTTTTAGGCTTTTATTACTGTGAACCACTGAAAGCACAGATCTCTTGCTCACTAGCACATCAGCAACCAACATCAGATGGATTTGAGGGAATGCAGAGTTTCTAAAGCCTAACCAAAACTGGACACGTAGTGTTCTACACATCTCTGAGTTTGCCAAAAGTGTCGAACCAATCCTTTCTCTTTCCATCCTTGAGAGCCAAGCTAAACAATCAGTCCTCTGTTACCCATGGTGGAGGCATGTGACTTTCTGAACAATAAACTTGACTACCCATTTTTTTCCACTCTAACTCTATCATTTCTTTTTCTTTCGTCATCTTTCCTTTGCTTTTTTTTTGTAGCTGTCCATGCAGGCTTTTTTTTCCCTCTAAAGTAAACACTGCCTTTTCAGAGAAAAGTCAGTTTTTAAATTGCTGCCTACTTACCCCTCTAGTGGCTCTCATACGGAAACTAGAGGTGCTTGCTGTGTCAGTGCTGCTTGGAGACGCTGAACATTTCCCATAGAGCTTCTGTGATTTAATGCATCTCTCTGAGGAGATGCTGATTGGCACAGCATGGTGTTCCATGCATGCGCAAAAGCCTCCAAAGCATTGCTTTGGCTGAGATCATCATGTTTGATGATCTCAACTATGGAAGTGAAGCAAGGCGAGATCAGCACAGTGCTGGAATAAAGGTGAGTAAAATACCTTTTCAAAGCACATCCCAAGATAGTAGGTGTCAATATCCATGACAAGATGTATAGCCTAGCTTTATTTGCGGACAACATCTTTATAGCACTGTCGGACCCTAAACGCTCCCTTGATCCCTTACTTGATCTGTTACAACAATTCGGTAACATTTCATACTATCGCCTGAATCAGGATAAGACACAAGCCCTACCTTTAAACCTGCCAAAACCCCTGCTATGAACACTACATACCTCATACCCGTTTGAATGGAAATCAAACTCAATAACATACTTAGGGGTGAAGATAGCACCCTCAATATCTATCACTTCGCAATTAAACTATAACCCTCTTCTAACACTATACAAGTCATAAATGAACAAATGGAAACACACAAAAATCTCCTGGTTAGGGAAAGTCAACTCGTACAAAATGATGATTCTCCCCCATATCCTCTACATTTTTAGAATGATACCCCTTGGGATGACACCCCACTACTGCAAAGCACTACAAAAACTATGTGGTACTTATATCTGGGGTGGTAAAAGACCCAGGGTGTCCCTGGCACTCCTCCAAACCGCACCACAAATGGGAGGAGTGGGACTCCCAAACATTAAACAATACCAGAGAGCAGTGATACTCTCAACCGGCATACTCCTCCATGCCCAGCCCGGCACGCTCCAATGGGTTGACATGGAAAGAGCACAATTTAAAGAAATGCCTTTAATTGATTACCTATGTACACCCAAGAAATTCATAACCAGATGCACTGACCTATTCCCAACTACACACCTCACGATATCTCTATGGGACACGTTCATGGAGACGATAGGCCACAAAAACACACTACATACCAAATTGCCAATCGCAGTTCTTAAAGCAATTGTACCAGAAATCCCCCTCAAAGGTTGGACTGAGGCAGGGATAACACAAAATATCACAATTACTAGACACCAAAGGCATAATCCCATTCCCAGTCCTGCAAACGCAATGGCAAGTACCGAACTGAGCAATTTTCTCCTACTTACAAATAAAAAGTGCTCTACAGGCACACACGTCTCCACCACAAAAATCTAAAGACCCAGCTAGAACCACCTCATATTTAATTTTAGACAATGCTAGGCATCACCCAACAAACCCAAAACACTCACATTATGCTACAAGGCATGGCAAGAACTTGCAGCAACTAAGCCACACACATATAAAGCTCAGTGGGAGACGGACTGCGGAGCGACACTGACAGACAACGACTGGTTACGTGCTCTCAACTGCCTGTCCAAATAATAATCGAAGCCCATAAAAAACTCCTATACCGCTGGTATATGACCCCACAGAGACTCCACCGCATATATCCCAACACGCCCCAGACTTGCTGGAGATGTAACACATCTACGAGCACGTTGGAGCACCTGTGGTGGTCATGAGACAACATCCAACCCCTTTGGACGGTGGTAACCAAAACGCTGGAGCAATTGGGCACACCCACATTCCCATTAACGAAAGCCTCTTGCCTTTTGTTGTTACTCCCAGATTACCTAACCTTCGGGCAAAAGCAAATGACAGCCCTTACCATATTAGCTGCGAGAAACATAATAGCACTGCATTGGAAATCTCAAATCTGCCCTTCCTTAGCTCAACTCCAAACCAAACTCACCCAGTACAAAATATACGAAAGAATGGCGATACTATCTCCACAAAAAAAACCTTCAATTTGATATCAGCTGGGGGGACTGGGAGGGAGAGGTGGACGAGACAAAAAGGTCAGACATGAACCATCAACAAACTGACAAGCATAAGAAACCACCCCCATTGCGATTATACCGACGACCCAAGCTCAGACACCGGCAAAACCCATAAGCAAAATTGACACACTCACCCCCCTCCCCCCACCTGCCCCACCAATGATTCAACTCCCCTTTTCCCCATCCCATATCAAGTTCTAACCCCTACATGGGGGATCACCCAACAACTTGCCCACTTGGTCCACAGGGACAAGATAAATCAAAGTGCACCACTAACTCACGTACTCAGGATTAAGCTACTCTGAGAAAAATAACAAGGAGCTGTACTGAATTAATTAATGGTAGCCAGCAACGCACTACCAACGCACCGTAAAACCAATTATGGTAAACAAGAGTACATCTCACTTCAGCATCTACCTAGACATTTAATAGCACAAGAATAAAGGCAATCGCACAAACGTGATCAAAAGAAAGTATACTGTACAAGCATGTAAATATTACTGTACCGAGTGAGTATATGTAATAAAACTGTCCTTTGTTCTACCAACTGCTAACCGATGTGAAAAATACAGAATGATGTGTACCCCCATTAACCTACCCTTTTTCCTTCTGTATCCCTTTCTGCATTTTGAAAACAATAAAATACAAATTAAAAAAAAAAAAAAATACCTTTTCAAAGGGAGACCAAAACTTAAACAGTGATTTTATCACTATAGTGTCAGGAATACGTATAGTGGTTTTTTAACAGTAAAAAAAAAAATAATGATGTACACATTCACCAGTCAGCCACACTCCTTTTTAACCCCTTAAGGACCAAACTTCTGGAATAAAAGGGAATCATGACATGTCAGACATGTCATGTGTCCTTAAGGGGTTAAACAAAACTAGACCCTGCAATACCCCCTACAGTGTTGGGGGTATTGCTCTATACTTTATTACTGCCTGTTACAATGTTATGACACTCAGAAGAACAGCAATAATGCAATCAGTTTACACATACTATAAATTTATTTAACAGATCCCAATTGGGCACAAACATTGTAATGAACTTTTCTCTTTATTTGTCAGTATGTGCCAGGAATCGAACCATTCTTTTGTAACTGTGTACTGAAACTAGAGACCAGTAATACATTTTCATGAGTTCAGTTTCAATACATTTATTTCTCATTAATATTTAAAAAAAAAAAAAACATTTTATAAAAAGTAGCTGAGCTATCTAGTCTTATTCACTAAGCTCGGAATTTCGTAAGGCAATCTCTGAGAAAATAATTCAGCAGAGAAATTGGGCAATTTGGAGGTAGTGCACTAGATTTACGATCATCTGTAATTTACCAAACTGCCTTTGAATTGATCTGGACAAGTTCCAAATCAAAACTCATCCGAATCAGGCAGCCTAGGCCTTAAAGTAAATATCTGAACAATTCATGAGCTATTTCACCCAAATTAAAATTCTGTACAAGCAGCCACTGACCGAAAAGAAGTCTGCAGTGCAAACGATAATGAATCCTCAATTTTTCTGCAAAAACATTATATACAATAGTAAGAATAGGTATTATACTTATTTATACATAGCTTGCAAAATGCACATGGTATGTCCGACGATGACATGATCTGTCCTTTAAGTATAAGTAAATTGACAGTGGGAAAGAAAAGAAAAAAGTACTTACTTTCAAGAGGCTAATGCCATTGTCACTGTTAGGTGCCGTAAAATGCTCATCATCATCAAAGTGAATGTCACCTAGGAACCAAGCATGTGCAAACTCTTGCCCTGAGCCATCAAACGTCCGAGTACATCCTAAATGCCGACCTGAGAAGGTGAGAGAGGCAAAGTGACATTACTTAGAGAAAGAATCTCTTAGCGTTGGATTGAAGTGATCCTTGAAATAAAGACATTTAGTAAAATAGAAGTGGTACATAGAATATCAGCACAATGATCTTATCGTACAAGTGATTTATTTCTCGTCTGCTTTATAAAACTTAACCCAGAGTCGCTTATTCAAGAATGGAGAGGGTTTGCTCAAGTGCACATTTCAGAGAGAGATAATTATCTTTGTACCTATATTATCTATATTTCTGTGCACTTTTATGTGCATATGAAAGTGTTCATTATAAAGGGAGATGTGGTAAAACCTTTGTTTGTGATTTAGCTCATATATAATTATCGGGAATATGCAATATTTTTTACATTTGGCCGTTTAAATAATAACTTTGGATGATAGGCTTGGACGTTGGTAGGTTTTAAAATTCAGAGGGACAGTATGGTCTGTATGGTCTCCCTCAAAACTTTGGGTCATTTTTCTTATGATGCTGTTGCCTAATGCTGCCAACGTCCACCCTTCTCCCCCCCCCCCCACCCCAAAACAAAAATCAGGCCAACATCTTTCTGCTATGCAATTATTTATTTTCTCTTTTTCCTGATCCATAATTTTGTGCGCACTGAATGTTTGTGCGAATGTAAACCTGAAATTGTTTCTTGATAATTTTGGTACAGCGCAGCCTCTCTCTCGTGGTTAATAGCACAACATTACAGTATCGCTATGTGATAGTATAGTATTAGTAGTTATACAACAGTATTACTGTAATGTCAGCCATTCAGACAGGCAAACCTCTCCTTTAATGCCCATTTTGGTCTGTCAGACAGTCCATTGATAGCAATAGTTAGCAACTATGCAGACAAGGGTACACACAACTAAAATTTATCAATAAAAAAAATAAAACAATTCCAGCTTGTTGCATATATACCTTCACTACAATAAAACACATAAATCATATTCAGCTGGCACAATTATAGCAGACATTATATGGAGAGGAGGATAGATGTCATGTCACCATAGAATTTGCCAAATGAGCTATTTGCCCAATACATGGTGAGAGATAAATTAATGCTTCTTAAAAACAAAAAAATGAATCTTGATATGAAGGGATATGTCCAAAGCACACAGGAGAAACAAACAACCCAATTCAGCAGACACCAAAAGCAAACATTATTATACAGAGAAATGTCACTCAAAGATTTCAAAAAGTACATATACATTAATGCTTCTGAAAACACGCAGACACACACTCTCAAAGGCAGACACACAATCTCAGTTATTTGGAACAAACACACTCACTGACAAACACTGACACACACTCAATAAGAGACACACAATCTCATGGATTTAAAACACTCACACGCTGAAAGACACACTCACTGACAGACACACTTTTAATGACCAACACATAATCTCACCATGTGTCTGTAGAGTATGCACCTGCCACATGGGGTAAGCACTGTGGCTACTGTGCCTTGCTTAATAAGTGTCCGCTTCGGGGGTGCCATATAGGTGGTGGTATGGCCATCTCCTGGGCTGCCCATGACAGGCCATTGGCCTGCCTGCTCCTTGCAGTGCCCCCACCTTCTGGTGGGCACTGCAAGCAGCTGTGTGCAAACCAAAACCTTGAAAACATTCAATTAAATTTGATTTATTTATAGTAAATGTTTCTGCAAACAATAACTCATACATATTTATATAAAGCAAAAATCACATAATATGGAAGTGTAAAGAAGTGTAACTACCTGTTCCAAATCCTAGTTTAATATCCACTGCATATAATGGGGACGTGTTATCTTCTTCAAAATCCAGTGGCATAATTTCGCTCCACATCCGAAATGCTAATTTGAAGACGTACCTCTGCTCATTAATGGACAGCTGACTGCTATAGCCCTCTCCAAGCATTCTCCATTTCAGCAGCTTTTTGCTAAATATTTTTCCTCCTACCCCATGTTGCTCTTCTTGGTCTTTCTTGTATTTGTCTGAAGACATCAGTAAATCTAAGAATCTCTTCTTACGGACTTTTGGAGGGTTGGAACTCTTAGTGTCATTATTGGAAGCTCCTGTTTCATTAGTAGATGTCCTTTGAAGAGTTTCTTCCCCAAGGTTTGACTTTGAAATCTGGTTGTCTGGCACACCGCACCGTGGCTTGTTCATTGCGTTTATGGTGGCATCATCTAATATCCCAGTCGCTGTCAAGTTATTTAACTTCTGAAACTTTTTGAGGGCTTCAATAAATGTGGGGCTTTTTGTTGGCTCAGCAAAGTCTTCTTTAGAATTGCTCATCCCCTCCTGAATCATTTGAAGACCCCTCACATGTTTATCATTGCTAGTGCTTGAAGAGTCCCATATTACTGGCTCAGTCCAACCATATTTGGCTAAAAAATCCTAAAAAGAAATAAAAAAATAAATAACTAAAAAATAGAAAAGTGAAATTGTTCTTAAACATATAATTAAAACTAGTTAATATACTACTTATCAAAAAATTCTTTAAAAACAGAAATATGAGTCCAAAAGGAACTCTTTCTAATGGAACCATACTCAGTAATATTATCTAGAGTGGACACAATTTCAGATTGTTTTGTGATAAAATTGCTAAAGAATTTAAACATATATGCTAGATCATGAATGGCAGGCCTATCACATTCATATAAATCATTGTTCTTGATTCTAAAAGTTGGTGGATATCCTTGACTTATGCCTATAATAGCTAAAGTCTCCATGTTACTAGGAGTTCTATATTTTAGGAAAATAGATCTCAATCAAGTAAATGATTTGTAGGGAAATACAGTATTTTTCTTTTAAACCATCAATCTAGGCTCCATTATCACTGCAGGGTTGTGTAGTGGCTATGGTACCAGGTGTCCCTTGGTGCTGACCTCTATTTTACAACAGTGTAACGGTTATTTGATTCCCTCTTGTACCCACAGTCCAGCCACATTTTAGTTATTATATAGAGTAACATCTTTTTCCACTTTAATGACAATTCCGCCAGTGGACAGAATAAGGACAAAGTTGATATATGTGGAAGGAGAAATTCGTCTTTGGCGGAATCAGAGAAGTGATGTGAAATGCATCAGCATTAATCCCGGGAGAGCAATTCCCACTGCATGTCCCAGCCATGATGTAAAGTACAAATAAAAGCTATTTTCCCTTTACCTGAGAGGATTAAGCCATTTTCCTTTACATATAGAAGAGATATGGTCATTAAATTAAATATTTACAAGCAGTGACAGAGCCTACATAGACCTCTCCCGGTTTTAATGATATACTTTATTGCTGTTTACTAATATTGAGAGTTCTTTGTTGGCTCCAGCAATCTTGGTTTATCAGAGAAGTGGGTCCAACTGTGGGCACCTATAGGACCAATGTAACTATCACATCACTCAAAAAAGTTTTGATTCTTAACAAAGAGATGGTTCCAGGGGAAAACCGTAGGGGTTATGGTACCTAAACACACTTTAACTTTTAATTTTGTTTTTGCGTGTACATGCTATTTAGCCTATTATAGAAGACACATTGGTATTAAGACAAGTGCTCAGTAGATCAGTCCTGGCACAGCCAGGGCATAGAATGCATTTGAGAAGGAGAAATAGATACATTGTTTCTGCATCTTCTCCTCTATCTCCTGACAGACAGGTGTAGAGTGCAACACTTGTAACAATGACTGACAGGGAGTCAAAATGGTGGCACTCAGTTCCAAGATAGAGGTAAATATAGTGCTGTCGCTTTCTATATTAAATTACAAATTTCACCACCTCACAAATAAATAATTCTCACATACAGTACATTAGAAATTCTGATAAGTAATAGTTCCTCTTTAAATAGCTGTTTGTAGTCCACAACATTTTGAAAAATAATTACATAACGGTATGGGATATGTGTCACTATGCTTAATTCTAGTACAGGGTGTATGAACATGGGTCTCTGCAAGGAGAATTTACCTGGGCCGAGGTCAGGTCTGTGACAAGTTCTGCTTGTTGAAGAGTTGAAGTTTCCATGTCTGACCGGTCTCGACTATGATAGAGTTTCTCCGACTGGCTTAGCCAAGGTAATGCCATACAGTGGTAGACGGTAATCAAAAGGTAGCTGGTAGGCTGCATCTCTGTGCCAGACGTGGCTGATATGCATTGCACAAAAGCTTGGCAGGCAAATCCTTATATACAGATCCAGGTTAGGTCACCCCTTGGCCTTTCATGTACATCCAATCTGGGTGTAGCCTTCAGTATTGTTTCACACCTTCAAAGCAATTTACTCAGAATTAAGCAAAAATACAGATGTACTGTCACCTAATTGCCAACAAACATGGTTCTCAGTTTGGTTTCAGCCAGCACCCTTTGAAAGTGCCTTTCATTGTTCCTGTTTATAGGTTTAGTAAATTACAAGGCTGCGGTGATCAGTTCACAGCAGGGTATTCTCCAAACGTTTCCACTGGTAACAAAGTATTCTAAATAAACTAAGAGTACTCCTGGGGAAGTTACAAATCATCCCATTAAGAGGCCACCTGAAGCAAACTTTTGTCATAATGCAGAAACCTTCTACCACCTGCAAAGTAGTAGCTCGTAGATGGCCCACCATATAGACAGCATGACACGACTCACCAAAATGGTAACCAGTTGGTTATTAAAGAGAAAATGCAAAACTAAAATATAAACACTCTGAGTGTACACTCTATGCCAAAAATAGATAAAGAGGAAAAAACTAAAGAGAAAAATAATGCAAAAATATTTAATAATGAGGATAGAAGTAATCATGAAGTCTCAATGTTTTTTGCTTGTGTGTCTTTGTCAAAAGGGTGTTCAAAAACCCACAGTTATTTCAAAAATACTGACATTTCTATCACTCAGGGAATGTTCTGCTATAGGCCATAATTTAATATTTTTGGATATGCTTTTAAAATGATTTAATATTTCTGGATAAACGTGTAAAATCATTTTTCAAATGTGGGGGTTGGGGGCCCTACTGCCACCATGACAGGCCAAAGCTATAACACTAGACAGGATCTTCCATGCCCCCAAACCGACCAGAGCTCCGATCTCTGCTCCAAGAAACCTGGTGATCCAGTTCAGGACAGGAACTGACAAGGCAGGAGTCTTAACAGCTCTGAGAGGCAACTCACCCTATCACTTTGAAAACATGCCACTCAGCTTCTCTGCTGACCTATCTGGAGGCACTTTGGCATGGCAGAGGTCTCTCAGACCGCTCACCTCACTCCTACAAAAGCACAATATCCAATACCAATGGTGCCTGTCCCGCACTCTCATTGTGTCTCATGGAGAAGTCACAAACCCCATCCACGACATACAGGAGTCCGTAGTTCTCTTGCAGACATTGGGACTGCCGCCTGATTCCCTCACTCAGAACAAGCAAGCCAGGGCACGTCAGAACACGCATACATGGGACCTGACCCGGATCACCCCTTTGGTCTCTCAGCAGCCTACACTAAAAGCCATATGCTGCGGTCTCAGACCTTATGTTCATGCCAAATGTTGAGTACGTAATACTTAACTGCAATGTCATTAGCCAACGCTATGTCTACCTGCTAGTCTTGCAAGATAGTGCTTGAGGATTTGCTAGCTGTGATATCTGAGAAAACATGAAATGATATTGAGTGCCAGGCATTATGTTATGTTTCTTTGCTAGTCCTGTCTTTGCTGTTGTGGCAGCACAGGAATATGTTGTTATTCTTTGCACGACAAAATACAAAAATAAAGAATGTCAAAAATAATCACACTTTTTATATAGTGTTTCTGTAAATATGACCAAATTGTGCAAGAACATACATTCTTGGACAAACATATCTATAAATTTAAATACATTAATGTTAATCAATTAATGACTTTAACATTGATGTACTAGTAAGAAAAGAAAACAAAACCAATGAAACAATTAGTTGGGCTTAATGTTACCAGCACATTTCATTTATTTGAAAACAGCATTGTATTGCTGGGAGCAGCCATTTAAATTTTTTAGCGGAGTACATCTGAGACAGCAATTCTGTTACGTGTGCATGTAAAGCAGTTATCCTTGCCTGGGAAAACATTGCTTGAAAATCTTATATTAATATTGTGTTTATTGATCATTTAATTAAAAAAAAATGTATCCTGGCACAAGTATCAAATCATTCAAATCATTTGTCTAAACAAAATTCGCTTGGCAATGAATTTATTTGTCTGAAACAAAATCTTTCAAATAGTTTTTGAACACATCGATTGGTTCGGGCAAATAGCTAGGAATTCTAACTCTGAATCATTCAATAAAAGTGGATTAGAATAGTCTTGTTTCTTATGAATTGATTTGTTTAAAGACGAACGCAACAAATGCTCATGTCTACTAATCAAGGTGACTGCTCCTTACCGAATATTCACCATACCGATTATATACTTAATACTACAGTCAGAGCGAGGATTGTCATGTACGAGATCAACAAAAAGAAACTTAAAGATTTGAGAAATCCCAATACTAATATTTTTGTAAGCAAACCAAAAAATGATAGAATGTACCAAAAGCATTCATTTAAATACGGGAAATTTTGCTTCAGACATGGTTATTGTATACAGTAAAGTGTGACTAAATGTATGCTAAAATGTCAGGAATTTGAAATGAATTGAAAGTTATTTCAGAAAAATGTATGGTTTCATTTTTAGTCCAGTGTTCATCCAGAATGTAGTCTATATTGATCAAGTGCATTTATTTTAGGAACTAGTAACACTTTGGCACGTTTCCAACATTGGTTAATTTTGTTACACAATGTGTCTTTCGATATCCAAGCTCTTCTTCTACACATACTCATATATACCCTTAAGGTTTTGGGAATGGAACAGAATACTTCGTACAATTCCATCAGCAGCTGCTGCTGCTATAAATTCACAAGGCAAGACGTGTGACATAAGAGGTACACAAGCCATGGAGTCTTCCTCTGAATAATCGAGCAGTGGCCACAAAAGAGTTATGGAATAAGAGTTGGACAGTAAGAAGAGGTGGTACAACATAATGTCAAGGAATGAGCCTGGCTGAAAACCTACAATATGCAATATAAATATATCTAGGTAACTGGAGATTAAAGGAAAAACAAAATACACTGTTTTGGACAACATACTACTGTATTGCAGACTGTACTTAAAGGTTTTTGCCCCCTGAAGCATTCTTCTCCTTTAAAAGGGAGCCAAATTGATTGACATAATCAAACGATCTCTTGGCATGAGCCAGGCTCACAGTTTACTGGTAGATGTCATCAGTCCCTCCCTTCTTGTCACTTCAAGTTGTCAGGAGTGTGAAAACTCATTTAACTTGACATCTTATTTTGCATTTTACATGACAAAAATAACTGCTTAAAAAAAGCACTGAAAAGGAGGAACAACTCCTGCAGATCAGAGTGAGTCATCCTTCATCTGAACATTTTAAGACAAGAATGAAAGAGGCAGTGATAAATACAAGGAACCTGTTCTAAGTGAAATATGAGAGGCTTTGTGTCACAGAGTAACTCATTTAATGTATTAAAAAAGGCTATTTAGGGATCAATGAGCCATGGAGAAATCTATGAAAAGCCCAGAGAAACACTAAATAATATCCTTCTGGTAAATTAGTACAAACTATATAAGCCATAGCAGGATTGGGAACCCTGCTAGTCCCCTAGTTCTTGAAATACAACTCCCATCAGGATTCCTCTTGTTTTGATTAAGAAGAATTATATATACACATGCTGAGAATGGGATGATTTGTTTTTTTTTCAATGTTTACAATTTTTGGGGGGGTTGTGAGGTCAAGGCTGCATGTAAACTGATAATATAATAGATACAATGACAGATACAATGTTACTATTATTGATGAGTTTCAATAGGCAGAAAATCAGCTTGATTTCTCACAAAAGTGAGTACACCCCTCACATTTGTGTAAATATTTTATTATATCTTTTCATGTGACAACACTGAAGAAATTACACTCTGCTACAATATAAAGTAGTAAGTGTACAGCCTGTATAACAGTGTAAATTTGCTGTCGCCTCAAAATAACTCAACACACAGCCATTAATGTCTAAACAGTTGGCAACAAAAGTGAGTACACCCCTAAGTGGAAATGTTGATAAAGAAATACTGATCAAGACTGTCGGAATTTCACTGAAATTCCAACGCAAACCAAAGGGATACCACTAGACAAAGTAGAGATGACTTTGTCTTATGGTAAAGTCTGATGTTGACAAAAGGCAAAATTACGCAGTCAACTTTTGTCCAACCCCGGCAGCAACAAATGATGGCTGTGGGATTCAGGCTCCGTCTATGGAGGATTCTGGGGTCTTGTGGGATCCTCCTTAGATCTCAGTGTTGTACTCCTGCACATGCGCAAGAGTAAAGCAATGATGTAGCTCCTGGCGCTTCAGTTGTCTACAGAGGACAGCAGCATTAAGATGGCAGCGGCCACAAGAGACAGCCCAAGGGAAGTAAAATTCACCTCCCCTGCACTCCACGGCCACCGGGCCCACATTGGATCTATCAGTTTCAGAGTTCTTTGTGAAATATGATAAAATGTCTAGGCCAGTAATAACTAACCATCGTTACTCTGGATGTTCCCCATCTACATTTCCCAAGTTTCTCAGCCAGCAATATGTTTCACTGTTATAGACTGCTATATAAAAGTAGATATTTCACCACTGTGTCAAAAAACTGTGATGCAGTCTTGTCATTTAGTCTGTCTTTTCCTTCTATAGATCTGTAATTTGATTATGATGTAAAACTTGCCAATGCAATGTACATGCAAACTCAACCTCCATGATGGATTATAACGTCCTTGTTACTTCGTGACAGAAGTTGACTATTATCCTAAATGAAACTACAATGCACTGGTCACTGAACTAGTCCAACAGACTCTTGGTTCTAACCAGTTTTTGTGAGTTTTGTTTCTGAGATTCTCTTCAAGGCACTATACTACCAGACAACCCTTGTTGCCTAAAGTGTTCTATTTTTGACCTATTCTCCAGTTCATACCTACTCTAACTTTTGTATCCAGTAAATAACCTGTTCCAGAAACAGATTTTAGATCCATTTTCCCCTCTGGTACCCAGTCTAGTATGTCCTAATAGAATAGTCCTAATGGCGTAACCTACGGCAACAATGTCTTTTAAGGTGAAGACTCCACTGACATACAGGAACCAATCCTACTCCTGAAAGTCTCCAGCAATTACCCCACCACATGCCCCTAGGTGATCACTGGGCACCTTCCAGAGATAGGGCAGACTGAAAATCAGGTAGGACTATGTTTCATTCCCACTTAATCGTGAAAGAGACAATAACATCTCTGGCTATTTTATTTTGGGGTTAGAATACCACTTCTAGCATTACAAATAGGTGTCTTCCTCAAACTTATATAATTATATCCTCATCTACACAACCTGTTTACCCCCTTTGTTTTTTATCCTTATATCCAGTGAGATACAAATATGTTATGTAATTGAATTGTTTACTATGTTCTCTCATTTAAAATTTTTTTTTTTTTTTAAATCGTCGTCACAAAGTATAAAGCGTAAGAAGACCACTCCTTAGGCCAGCGGTTCCCAAAGTGTGGGTCGCAGGGCGATTCCCAGTGGGTCGCGCTGACCCACACATGCAGAGCCTCTGGATACTCAGGAATGCAGACTGATTAGTCGGGCTCTCGGTCTGTGACTGCAGGCCCGACACCAGGAGGGGGACCGGCGGCTTGCCCTGTATCCCACCGGGCTTCCTCCAATCAGTCTGCCCAGCACCTCCGGTATGCAGCTCCGCCGGTTGCAGAGCTGCAGACCGTGTGATAGAAGTCCCGCGAGCACCTAGAGTGTCACCATGGCAACACTCTGGGAGTTCACCAGACTTTTATTACACGGTCTGCAGCTCTGCGCCCGGCGGAGCTGAGACCGGAGAGTTAACCCACTGGACCACCAGGGACACTGGACCACCAGGGATGTTTAATGAAGGTAGGGCACAGAGCCCAAACAATGTCCCCCCACCCCAATGTAACCCCTTCTTTCCCTGCCCCTCTCCCCCCACTGCAACCCCTTCTCTACCTACCCCCCACTATAACCCCTTCTCTGCCTCTCTCCCCCTCACCCCACTGTATTCCCTTCTCTGCCTATCCCCACTGTAACCTCTTCTCTCCTTCCTCCCTCACCCCACTTAATCCCTTCTCCTGCCTACCCCCAAGTAACCCTTCTCTGCCTGCCCCCACTGTAATCCCTTCTCTCTGCCTACCCCCACTGTAATCCCTTCTCTACCCTACCCCCAATGCTAACCTTCTCTGCCTACCCCCCACTGTAGCCCTTCTCTGCTTTCTCCCCCTCCCCTCCTGTAACTCCTTCTCTGCCTATCCCTCCGCCCTAGCCCTTCTCTGCTTCTCCCCTCCTCACTGCTGCTTCTCGCCTTCCTCCCTCCCCCACTGCCCGGCCCTTCTCTGCCTATCCTCCCACCACTGTAGCCCTTCTCTGCCTCTCCTTCCCCACTGTAACCCTTGCTGCCTACCCCCCCTGCACCTTCTCTGTCTCCCCTGCCCCTGTAACCCTTCTCTGCCTACCCCCCACTGTAGCCCTTTTCTCCTGCCCCACTATAGCCCTTCTCTGCCTCCCCTCCTCCCCCCTGCCACCCCCTTCTCCTGCACTGTAACCCTCTTCCCTGCTGGCCCTTCTCTGCTTACCCCATGTACCTTCTCTCCTGCCCTCCCCACTGTAACCCTTTGCTCCTGCCCCTCTGCCCACCTGTGTGCCTTTTCTCCCCTGCCCCCCCACTGTCCTTTTCTCCCCTGCCCCCCCACTGTACCCTTTCTCCCCCTGCCTGCCCACTGTAACCCTTTCTCCCCCTGCCCGCCCACTGTAACCCTTTCTAACACTGCCCCCCACACTGTTACCAGTACACACACTCCCTCCCACACTGTCACCCTCACCTCCTGTATCTGCATGTCCTTTTGTGTCAGTGTGTGTGCTTTTGTTTGTCTGTGTGTATCTGTGTACATGAGTGTCTGTGTATCTGTGTGTGGGAAACTAAGAGTCATTGTGTGTATCACTGTGTCGTTGTGTGTATTTGTATGTCTGTGTGTGTATACACTGCACACATACTCCATACAAAAAAACATGCTCACATTCAATCACACATTGTGTATATGTATATTTTATAAACACAATATACACACACTGCATCCACTACACAAACACACACACTGCAATCAAACGCAAACATTACATACAAACACACCCCTGCATTAAAACACTAAAATGATCTACAAACACCCCTTCATTCAAACACAAACACTACACACAGAAAGCACACCTGCATTTAAAGTCCTACACTACATATACAAACACCCCTGCATTCAGACGCAAACATTACAAACAAGTACACCACTACATTCCAATAGCAACAGTACATACAAATACACCCATACATGCACACATATACTTAATACAAAAACATGCTTACATTCAAACACTGCTCACAAATATAACCCTGCAATGATGCGCAAATGGTAGATCTCCATCTGGCATAGCACTGTTGAAGTTCTCCAACAGATGGAGACCTACCTTTTGGCCACACTTTCACTAGATGGGGGCCCAGAAAACATACTTGCACCAGGGTCCTCTCTACATTAGTTCCACCACTGGGATAATCAACGTGAGGTGCCTGAATGAAAGAGCAGGACAACAGCATTTCTGATTCTAAGTCTGTGAGTAAGCAGTTGTATGTCTCTAATACTGATTGCCATGATGTGTAAAGTTTCTGCCTCAAAAACTGCCATGATATATCAAAATGATGCCTCTAAAACTGCCATGTTATGACAATTCTATGCATCTAAAGCTGATTGCCATGGTGTGCCAATTATATGCTTTTAAAACTGATTGCCATGGTGTGCCAATTTTATGCATCTGACTGTTTGCCATGGTGTGTCAAGTGTATGCTTCTGAAGCTGATTGCCAGGATGTGCCAAGTTTATGCATCTAAAAGTGATTGCCATGATATGCCAAGTTTATGCATCTAAAGCTGATTGCCATGGTGTGCCAAGTTTATGTATTTAAAGCTGCCATGATGTTCCAATTGTATGCCTCAAAAACTGATTGCCATGATGTATCAATTTTATGCATCTAAAGCTGATTGCCATGGTATGCCAATTGTATGCATCTAAAGCGGATTGCCATGGTGTGCCAATTGAATGCATCTAAAGCGGATTTCCACGGTGTGCCAATTGTATGCATCTAAAGCGGATTGCTAGAGTTTGCCAATTGTATGCCTCTAAAGCGGTTTGCCATGGTGTTCACTTTTTAAAATATGCATTAAAAGCAAGTGGGTCTCGAAAAATTACACTTTTAAAAAGTGGGTCTCGGCCCATAAAAGTTTGGGAAGCCCTGCCTTAGGCATTAACAAGACAACAAAACCAGAAACACCGATTGTAAACAACTATGTGTCTAACCATGTATACCAAATGCATGTATTTTGTACTGTTAAAACTGCAAATGAGATGATGACAAACCAAAAATAAAGAATTAATAAATAAAAAAAAAATGAAAAAATGGGAGTCTTATTTTTGTTTAGATGTACTAGGAAAAAAAATTAAACTATAGTGTGCGGTTTTTTAATTCCAGTAGAATCACATTTAGTATTGTTCTCAATATTATGTTGCGTTTTGAGTACATTCCTGGTCAAAATTTAACAAATCATTATGTAGCACTTCAATACACAGTATATGAACTGGCTGTAAATCACAGGAGTTAACAGTGGAGAAGAGCTGTATTTTACAATAATTTGCCACTTGCCAATGCTTGTCTAGATTCAAAAAGTATTTTAGATGAGACATTGCAAGAGTTTGATACTTAAAAGGTGGCACTATTTCAACTGCTGTTATCGGCATGTATAACTCTGCTATTTAATGACCATAGTAGAGGTAAACTAGAGACAAACAATATAAACAGATAAAAAAGATAACAAATACTGTTTTGGTTTCTTTTGATATATTTTGCACGTTTTTTTCACCAAATTTCATGGAAAGGAAAGGGCAGCCTCCATCACCTCTACTTATTGTCTTTTCCATACATTACCAACTCTTCACATTTGTTAATTATTTGTGTGTTACTGCAATGTGAAGTGTTACACTTGCTCTAGGATGTAAAGCGGCTGCAAACATTATTTAAAATATTTATGATTATCCTATTTCTTTTAGTCCTTGAGCCAAATGTTCAGGTGTAGGATTTTCTGCAGTACAGCTTACACACACGCCTTCTGCAATCATTGCTTCGGCTGTTGTCGGACCAATCGCAGCAAACTGAAATGTGAACAACAGAACACTATGAGGAATGCCAAAAAAAGTCTATCTGGTAGGAAAACAAACTGGGTTATGTACAAAAGCCTAATTTGCAGCAGGAAATGGCAATTTTGATAAAAATACGGGTCATTTTATAATTCCTTCAATTTGGTTAAAATTTGCAGTCTGCAGTATTTGTAAAAAGAGAAAGAAAACCAAAATAAATTTGCATAAAACAAATCATCTCCAAACTGAAATAAAATCTCAGTAACTAATTACTCAACCAGCCCTGAAAGTAATGCAAATAGGCATGGGAAATAAAATAAATACAAAATAATAAATAATATAACAAAAAAGGCATCCAAAATTCTTTAATAACCACAAGGGAACAACTGTTCTTCCCTCAAAAGAATTGTGAGCAGCAACCATTAAACCTATTATTATGCCACTTTTAAAACTGTTTCTACCATCCTGTGTAACGGTGATCTCTTGTAAATTTGCTATAAAAAATCCAAATATCTATCCTGTGATCTTGAAAACAGCAATGAAATTTTAAGTATCAAATTATATAACAATATGGAACATATACCTTGGTTTATTTTGTATTTATTTTTTTAAGTTTCCAAATGATTGAATGTTTTTGGATAAACTTTTAAAATATATTTAACATATTAACTATAAAAAAATAGGTTCTAAAAAATAAAATATATATATCAATATATTCCAAAATGTTTATAATTTTCATAATAAAATTAATGATTTAAAAAAATGTATCCAAAAATATTAAATCATTTTGAAAGCTTATGCAAAATATTAAATCGAGGCTATAGTTTGTACATATCAGACAGAAAAAGATACAAAAATTATTTTCTTTCAGGTGCAATCTGTGTTTTACACCATACATTTCATGGAATTATTAGTCTGCCATTTGTCAAAGGAAAGAATTACTGAAACATGTGGCCTACACTGTTGCAATCACAGGGTTAAACGGTCTGTGTCCCCACCATGGATTTTTAGCAATTTATGCCTGAGTAAATTATTGCAGTATCAAATGTCAAAGTAAACAAATGTTATAAATGTTTGATATGCCAGTGACCTTTGGTGCGTCTGTCTACTGTAATTGCTGTACCTTGTGTCACTATTCCTATATCTAGAAATACAATGTGACATGGACAAAACAGGAAAATGTATTCATAAAAGTCTTCATTTTCCCTTTATTTGACCAAGAGAGGCACAAAGCAACAGAAGTTGACAACCTCTCTGTAATAAACCACCCAGAAAGTCTTTACATTTATTAAAGTAGCACTTATTAAACATTGAAAAATGCTACTTTTAACAATTTAATTGATATACCATCAAAGCAAACATGTACGACATCTCAAACAGCCACTGAAAAACTATTCAATACATATTTTCTTTGGGTAATATGAAGGAATATCTAACCCTTGCCTACTTCTGTAAAAAAACAATTATAAAAATGTTACTAACTCAAATGGTTAATCCAAGATTCATAACCACTACAGATCGTGCAGTGGTTATGATACCAGGAGTACCCTGCTAAGGGTGCAAACTCTTAGAAACCTTAACTGGGTCCCTGCCGGGCTCTAATGCTCCCAGGTAGTCTTGTGATGCACTTCCAGAAAGCTTGCTTATACGCAGTTATATTAATTGTTT